ACCAATTGAATAATATAAAAGTATTACAAAGTCTAAAATGCAAGCAGCCCATATGAAACAAACAATGTACATTCCCATTTTCCAACTCTATCTGATGTGGTTTTGTTTTAGTGCAGTAAATATATTGTTTTATCGTCATGCTTTTTTATTATATAAAATTTTTTATTTTATTTTTTTCTTAATTATTTATAATCTCATTTTATCAAGATATATAACCAAAATTCAATTCAAGTAATAGCAATCGCTATTATCAACTTCCTTTTTGCTATTAATGGGATAGTAAGTATATCATATAGGATTGTTAATGGTGTGTGATGTTTTTAAAATAGTGATATTCCAGAGTACTCTTAGAAATTACTTAACATAATGCTTCATTAATAATTCTATTATCAAATATCTTCAGTGTTACGAATTCTTATATTCAAATTTGGTTTGTCTTAATAGATTCAATGGGTAGAAGTCAAGAAATGGTATATTGACTTTGAAAAGGATTGTCCGGGAAGATTACCTTTGCATACACAGTTTTTGAAATACGATGCACCTTTGATAGTCGCATTATTATTATTTTCAATTATCGTGGGATTTATATGCTTTAAATTATACCAGCAATTTGGTTGGAATATTTACAAAAAAATTGGTGCTGATTTATCCATGCAAGGTATAATTTATTTATAAAATTTAGTGTATAGAGTTCTTATAAATTTACTCACTTTATTTTTTAACGCATTTACTATATGAACAACTTTATAGCTAATTACAGAACCTATTTAATTTATCTCTTGTTACTAAAACTTGACCTGATTTTCATTTTGGGCCTTTCTGCCGAAGCGTTAAATGTATATGTAGTTACATTTAGTAAACTAGATGGCCTAAAAAATCTAAGATATATGCCTGTTCAGTTTTATCTATTTCATCTTTTCATCACTATTTGTGTTGCTATAAATCAAATATTAGCATATCGTTCGGTAAGTCGTTTTTTAGGCATTCTTAAAAACTTATTATTTAGTTTCTTTTAAAACATAAGTGCCTTATAATAATTTAGGTACGACAAGAGTGGAAAGTGGGAATGTACATTGTTTGTTTCATATGGGCTGCTTGCATTTTAGACTTTGTAATACTTTTATATTATTCAATTGGT